CGCCACAAGTGGCCTAGTGAGCCGCGGCGCCGGCCTGTTAAGTCTGCTTTTAAAAAAGTGTTGAATTATTTTTGGAAACATTTTCACCTGTACCAATGACGCTTTACAGACAAATCACAGAAGTTATAGGGACTGTATGGAATAATGAAAATTTGGAGAAAATGATGAGATACCTCTAATTATCCAAGACAAAAATATTCTTTTTTTTTTAAAGGTTTATTTATTTATTTGAAAGGCAGAGTTACAGAGAGGCAGAAGGAAAGAGAAAGAGGTCTTCCATTTGTTGGTTTACTCCACAGACTGTCACAACAACCAGAGCTGCGCTGATAGGCTTCTGTAGCCCTGGCAGCTAATGGCAAGAGCCTCGGATGGTCACTGATGTCATAAATAAGAGTGTTAATTTTTAAATTAACAACAGAAGTCACTGCGCACTTACTCCCCATGTAGGACCTCCGTCCTTAATGAGTTGTACTATCAGAATTAACTGCAAAACTTGTTCTCAAACAGTACTTTATACATCATGTGTGTCTGTGGGTACAAACTGTTGACATCTTAGTATAGAGTTGGTCTTCTGTATATAAAGTTAAATTAAAAATGAATCCTAATGAAGAATGGGATGGGAGAGGGAGTAGGAAGTGGGATGGGAGTAGGGGTGGGAGGGTGAGAACGGGGGAAAGAACCACTATATTCCTAAAGTTGTACCTATGAATTTTGCATTCATTAAATAAAAGCTTTTAAAAATAATATAAAAATTGCCTGATAGGTCTAGACAGTCTGTTATAATATAACTCAGAATATATAGGAACAAAAATGCAAGGCAATATATTCAAAATGCAGTCCTTCCATTCTTTTTCCAATGCATAAATTGACATTTTAAAGTTCTTAAATGTTACGGAGAAATAAGCAGCAATACAAGGACTAAATATCCTTTCTATTGTGTGTACAGCAGTATGCGTGAGAAACCAATTCCAAATCATTAGTCAGATATATAAGAGTGAATGGATTATCGTAATAGTATAATCATAAACATATGCCATTAGGAAAAGGTATAAAATGAAACAACTACTGACTGTTAAAAAATGCCCTGGGCTGTCGCCGTGGCTCACTAGGCTAATCCTCCGCCTTGTGGCGCCGGCACACCGGGTTCTAGTCCCGGTCGGGGCACCGGATTCTGTCCTGGTTGCCCCTCTTCTAGGCCAGCTCTCTGCTGTGGCCAGGGAGTGCAGTGGAGGATGGCCCAAGTACTTGGGCCCTGCACCCCATGGGAGACCAGGAGAAGTACCTGGCTCCTGCCATTGGATCAGCACAGCGCGCCAGCCGCGGTGGCCATTGGAGGGTGAACCAACGGCAAAGGAAGACATTTCTCTCTGTCTCTCTCTCTCACTGTCCACTCTGCCTGTCCAAAAAAAAAAAAAAAAAAATGCCCTGAAAGCAACAAGGCCAGGAAAGCTGGGAGGAAGGACAAAGTCAGAGCTTTTCCTTTGTTGTATGTATATTTGTCCTTTGTTGGGTTCCACAGAGTCTGAAGGGCAGGATATATGGAAGTTTTCTAGCTAATATGAACACAATGGGTCATCATGCCACATGACTGGAGTCCATATACGGATAACTTGGGAGGCCCACAATTCCAATTAGGACTGTTACACAAAAGGAATTACTTGACCCTACAAATATCTGCTTCAGTACATGATAAACAGAATTTCAGGAGAGAAAGACAATAGTTCTAGTTGAAAACTTAAATTAGGGGAATACTAAAATGTTAATACAAAAATATTTCAAACCGCAAACTAGGTAACCATACTAGAATCTATGCTGGGCACAATGACAGATAACATAAAATGGAGACAGTAATGGCAACATGCTTTTGTTTCTTCTTGATGCTTTATGAGTGTGAAAGGCACACTGTTTTAATAGCTTTCCTAAGATAATTTGTTTTACACAGTAGTCTTATTTTATAGCTCACTGTGAGTTATATTTCTAGAGTGTGCTTTTCAAATAACAAGTACAACTGCAAAATTAATTGAATACTAGAAATGTTTATATATATGGCTGCCTAGGAAATAAAATATACAGTGAAGAGTACCACAAACGCATTTGCAAAAAATTCATTCTTTTGAAGCTCTTACACTAAGATCTCAAATGTGAATTAATTATGAACAGCTTAAATCACAAAGACAATATATCACTGAATGCTCATTTTAATTAGCTTTTACTACTGTATCTGTACTTTTCTTCTATCATAATAACATGATTTGATTTTGCCTAGTTTATATGCTACTGAATTCATCTAATTTCCCTTTAAAAATACCCAATGGTCTAACATCAATAAAGTCTTTTAATTACAAGCTGTATGCTTCAAATATAGTAAGTAATAGAATTATTACTAATTTGTTCGCCATTATTTGTAACATGATATTATACTTTGCTTAAGTATAATCATGTTTCTCTGAGGATATAACATCCTCAAATAATGCAACCAATAGTAAGGATCCCGCAATTAACTAACCTGACTTTTCTTCTAAGATTGTATATAGACACTGTAAATATGTAACCTGGTTTCCCATTAATTCATACAATTAATAAATGGGTGAAATTATCCTACAGGAAAAGATATCATCAAAAAGAAGAGGAGGAAGGGAATGAGAAGGTGGAGGAGGAAGAGAATCACAAATTTGGTAAAGATGAGATCATTATAAACTCTAGAACTTGTTTCAATAGAGCTCATATCTTAAATCTCTTGGTCTATATATTGTTAAGTCTCTCTAATAGCAAACTCCGTAAAACTTGATAATATGGCAAAGCTTTTGCCCCTTGTCTGGCTGCCATGTCTCAAAGTCTCCAACTAAAGGTAGACCAGGGCAGGTGTTAGCAACAAGATGGTCCCATCATTGGTCCTAGCTATGAGCTGCTGGTCATACTGATGGGCATGGTAGAGGGGTGACCAGACAACCATGCCAGTGGGAACTTGGGTAATACATGCAAATTTTTTTTAAAGATTTATTTATTTTACTTGAAAGTCATATTTACACAATGAGAGAAGGGGGGGGGGAGAGAGAGAGAGAGAGAGAGAGAGAGAGAGGTGTTTTCCATCCGCTGGTTCATTCCCCAAATGGCTGCAAAAGCCAGAACTGTGCCGATCCGAAGCCAGGAGCCAGGAGGCTCCTCCAGGTCTCCCATGCGGGTGTAGGGGCCCAAAGACCTGAGCCATCCTCTACTGCTATCCCAGGCCATAGCAGAGAGCTGAATTGGAAGTGGAGCAGCCAGGCCTCGAACCGGCACCCATATGGGATGCCGGCACTGCAGGTGACAGCCTTACCTGCTACGCCACAGTGCCGGCCCACAAAATTTGTTATTAATTTCATGTAGTTGTTAATAAATAACATCTGCATAATAAACACTTTGGGATGGTAGTAGAGTAGCTAGTAGCAAAAGAAAGCATATAAAGTGACATGAACTAAAATATTTAGAGCTGGTATTAATTTTTCCATAAATCTCTACTGTTTCTTCTCAAGGCTTTCCTGTCTACAGATGGAAGAGGTAAGCTTCTTGTATGGTATTACTGAATGCCAGTTCCCCATAATGCTTCCTTATAGTTTTCCAGAGAACCATCGTTTCCTACTGGCCATGAAAATGCCACTCTTGGAGCTATCCTTTGGGTTAGGTCAGGAAGTATGGTACTGTGCATATAGGAAGGGGCCACACCTATCCCTTTAATTTGCTATGAATTAATCAGTTCATTTCACTTGTATCATGGAAGAACTGACAGCTGGGATGGGGCCACAACTAGGTGCTGAAGACAAATGACCATTTTACAGTTTCTGCAGCTTAATGTTACCAGGATGACAGGGGCAAATGTATGCAAAAGCAACATTTCAAATCCTGGCATCAGATGGACTACTTATATGAGAAAGGGGTTGCAGTGGGCTTAGGTTGGTATGAATAACTGTTTCATTAGGCTCAGAGGCAAGGATGAACATACTGTGAATAAAGGATCCTCCATGCACTTTGCTGAAAAACTCATTAAAAGTTGCAAAAAAACCATAATTACTACCTAAATAATCCTACCATAATCTCAACTCTCTTTAAAGGTAGGCGATATGGACTTAATCTACATTCTACTGTCCAAAGAGAGATTCTCGGTTACAGTTATGACAGAAAAAACTTGTAAGTATACATAAAAAGTTTTACTAATTATTTCTATAAAGAAATAATTTATATATTTTTACTAATTCTGGCTTTTGAATATTTTCTCTGGAAAATATGAATGGTCATCATTAAGATACACTAAAGAAACTTTCCATATACATTTCTTTTGGGGGAAAGTTACCATGTGCTAGGTTTTCAATAATTTTTTTCCAAACAGTATTCAGTTTCATTTTTAACAAGTTTCTAAGAAAACTTTTTATGATTTTACTATTTCATAAAATATATTTATATTCTAAAAAATTCCAAACAGAAAACCTCCTGTAAAGCAACTCCCAGCACTAATTCATGATTCATTATCTAAACTTTAATTGGCACAACTCTTGAAATACGGGGACCATATGGAAAATAATGAGTCCTAATAGGTCTAAGGTGAAAAGATGGCAAGGAAATAAGGAAGCCAGAAAACTGTCAACTCAGAATGCTTAGCAACTGCAACACAATTTCCCCAGAGATCTAGAATGATGTATTCTCAGTATTTTATTGGTCTTGCTGACATATAACTAAACTATCTATCATGCCTCATTTAGTGAGACAAAGATTAAAATGAAAAACAGAAACCAAAGAAACCCCCAAACTGACTTCCATAATTAAAAATGGAATTGGCTGTTAACAAAAAAGGCAGCAATTTGGAGTTACCATAACAACCTGATGCAAGTATTGACTGACAGGGCAATCTGCTATATTTTTATAAATAGAAGCTGCTTTCCCCTCTTACATTTCAACTGGTTTTAGTGGTTATAGAAGCTAATAGAACAACTGTGCTTTAAATCTGCCTTACTTATTAAATAGTGTACCTCTTCGCTGCTGTCCATGCTATAAAAATCATCCTCCAATCGGGTGTCTCTGCTTGTCACACTGTTGTCCTCTTTTGGATCCAAAATAAATGGGCCCCCCTCTGGGGACATATCTGGAGTCTTTCCATGAGGTGCTGACCGTGGTCTTGATGAGAAGGTAAAAATGTCTTCTTGAATGATCTGGGTTCCCTCTACCTCTCGGTCATGATCACTTTCATTGCTGGCTTGCAGCCACAGGTGTGATGTGTTGCAGGAGTCATCATACAGAAGTGGGGACTGTTTGCTGGACGTCAAATGGGGAACGAGATTATCACATTCAGGAAATATCCACTCATCTAACATTTGGAAAAGATGACAAAAATTAGAGCAGCGTTCCATAAAAGTGTTACTTTAGGCAAGGAGTAGGTGACAATTTCTTCTTGAAACAGATTTATCAAATGATGTAAAGGCCAAGGAAGGCTAATTTATCCACCATCTTGTAATCTGCTAAACGTTGAACTCATAGATCAGTGTTGATAGCTACAGGCAACTCATTTGCACTTCCTCTCCATCTGAGGTGAAACACTGGCCAGGAAATTTGTAAATCTGTAGTAATTATCACCTGTCTTGCAGCAAGTTCTTTATAGCACAATCTCATTAATCTGACATTCCAGAGGGGGAAAAAATCTTACAAATTTCAAAGGGTTTCAGTTTCTAATGTCTCCTTTAAACTGAAGGAGGACAGAGTAGTGTGCTTAACAAGTTTCTTTAAACAAAATATCTGGTCATTGTTCAGATTACAAATCATAGTGGGGGTGGGGGAAAGTAAGAAAAGGCTGACAATCTTTCCTTCCCCATTCTCCTGCCAGCAACAGGGCAACTCACAGACTCAAGTGAGTAGACTGTGCAAGTAACAGTAAATTCACAGAATTATTTGTTAATCTAAGTGGTGGATCCTGCTGGGTGAAAATGACTTTTATGTTTAATTTTAGTAGATAATGTTTTGACATGAAAATCTTTTTGCACATTGTTTTCTTTAAAAATACTGCATACCACCACTGAGATATATTTTTATAAAACCTTAAAAAACTAATCTTTCATATCCCACTGAGATGGACTGACTCTGTGATCCAGGCAAATTGGAAAGAGAAATCTTTATAAGGAACATCATTAAAAGCATCCTTACTTTATTCTTTACAATGACAGCAGGAAAGAGTTGAGTATTTTCTAAACTTACTTTTCAATTTTTTTTAAATTTACTTTTTTTTGTTGTATTATTTCAATGGTAAAAATCTTGCAGGAATCTGTTCTACAGAACTATAATGTGGACACAATAATTTACATCTGACTCTTGAATCCTGTCATATTTATGCTCAATGAAAATAACAAAGAACGATATAAGATTTGTCAATTCTAAAGCTTACACTGCAAAAGCAAAGCAAAACAAACAAATAAATCCTCAAACCTTTAATAAAAATTGATGGCAAATAAACTGTTGCACAATTGTATTCATTTATTAATCTAAAGCTGCTATTATATAACATGAGGTGAAAAATGTGTACTTTTCTTCTTTTTTTAAAGATTTATTTATTTATTTGAAAGGCAGAGTTACAGACAGAGGGAGAAACACACACACACACACACAAACACAGACACATATATATAGAGACAGAGAGAGAGACAGACAGACAGACACACACACAAACACACACACACGGTATTTCCATCTGCTGGTTCACTCAAAAAAATGGCTGCAATGGCCAGGTGGAAGCCAAGAGCCAGGAGCTTCAACTGGGTCTTTTCTGTCCTACATGATTGGCAAGGGCCCAAGTTCTTGGGCCATCTGCTGCTGCTTTCCCAGATGCATTAGCAGGGAGCTGAATTGGAAGTGGAGCAGTTGTGATGTGAACCAGCATGCCAAGTGGTGGCTTAACCTGCTATTTAGCATAGCCAGCTCCAAATATATATTTCTTAGAGAAAATCAATGAAGGACAAGGGTTCCATATTTTTCAGTGACTGAATCTGTACGGTTATTGCCACTGGCAGGCAGAATGTATTTCTTTTTCTTTTCTTTCTTTCTTTTTTTTTTGACAGGCAGAGTGGACAGTGAGAGAGGGAGACAGAGAGAAAGGTCTTCCTTTGCCATTGGTTCACCCTCCAATGGCCGCCGCGGCCGGCCGGCGCACCGCGCTGATCCGATGGCAGGAGCCAGGTACTTATCCTGGTCTCCCATGGGGTGTAGGGCCCAAGTACTTGGGCCATCCTCCACTGCACTCCCTGGCCACAGCAGAGAGCTGGCCTGGAAGAGGGGCAACTGGGACAGAATCCGGTGCCCCGACCGGGACTAGAACCCGGTGTGCCGGCGCCACAAGGCAGAGGATTAGCCTAGTGAGCCTCAGCGCCAGCTCAGAATGTATTTCATCTGCTCACCTTGACAAGGAGTGCAGACGGTTCTGAGTCAGCATAGCTAGGAACAAATAAAATGAACAGATTGACTAGATTATTCTATGCTGGACTACAAACCCTTTTGCATGGTGCTAGGCATACAGTAGGTGCTTTGCAAACAAAGCAGGTGCTTTGTAAATGCTGACAAAGTTTTCAGAAACCAGTGTGTTATACTAAATACATGAGTATGTGAAGCAAATTGAAGGAAAAGGCATCTTCATTATGCAGTTAAACAAATTGTATGACCTATTGCCAAACGTATTATTAACTGTCAAAAAGTCAAAGTAAAAAGAGTGTTTTACACCAAAGTTACTCTAATTATCTCAGGACCACATGCTTTTTGGGGATTCGTAGGTTTAACTCAAGTATTTCCATATCAATTGTAATGAATAATTTGGTATGTTTTCTTAGAAAAATATGTAAATTACTGTGTAATCACAATATTGCAGCAAACAAGATAAATGCAAGAATGATCACCTAAACATCTAATTAGTTTTTCTACACAGTGAGATTTATGCTAGAGACACTAATTGCGCCTAACATTTTAATGAAGGTTTCAACATTGCATAAATAAGACTGACAAACTACAAACAATTTTCATTTATTTTCCTTTTTTTCTTGCTCAAAACCAATTTGCCTTTGTAAAAGTAGCACACACCTGCTAGGCAAGATATGTTGATGGGCTCAAAGCTCTCAGCTCCCACCATCTCCATTATAAAGAGAGCTGGAGAAACATAATACATCATCTTTGGGTAGGGTAAGAGTGTCAAGGGAACACTTGAAAGTTTCAAACTTTCATGTAGAACAGGACAACCAGTGTCCTAACACTTGAAAATACTCTTTCATTCATTAAAGTCTGACAGAAAATTAAGGTTAACAAAAAGAGATTTATAAAAAAATTAAAATGTTAGCAAGTGGCTACATCACCACTTTTAGAAAGAATTGGGTTTGAAATACTAGGTGTATTTCTGAATTATGATCAAATATGGTGTAAGGATGCCCACCTGCTTGATCAGAAGACTGGGGCCCTGGAGTGCTGGAGTTCACCACCTCTGTGTCTTCCTGGGCCACAGCAGCCAGGACGGTTGTTGCTTCATCTTCTTCATTCTTGTGGTTTCCTGAAGAAATCCCTGGATGGTAATATATATTTTCTACTCTATTATTTTTTTATTTATATTTATAAAAAGTGATTTTTGAAAATTATATTAATTTTCTTACCTTTCTGTTTGATTCTTTAAAAGCAAATTAGAAGTAAGAATATAGATTATATGCCATTGCTTTTTTTTTTCCCAGTAGTGAGTGCTTAAAGAAGAACTCAGTTGCATTTTTGTAGACAGTCACCTTAAAATTCTTTGATAGTTGCACAGGGACATTTTAGCCTCAAGTTTTATAATGTGTGATAAAAGGAATTCAAAAACCCATATAATTTTTAAATGGTCTTATTTTTTTTCCTTGGGTCTTACATAAAATAGATTCTGTTTTCTTTAAATTATAATTCTTACTAAACATGAATCATGTAGACCAAGGTCTTTCCCTCAACACCTTAAGAAAATGATGCAGATGTTACAGAATTAATTTTCCTATCTACTCTTTTATAAAATTAATGTGAACTGAGCAAGTTGAATTTTAGCCCAAGAATCTTATATTTTTGAGAAGTTATATATATACATATATATGTACGAATGTATGTATGTGTGAGATACATTCTGGGCTGGATTCAGGATAGTCTAATACATGTATATACAAATCTACACATATATACCTCAATTCCAGTATTCAAAAGAATAACTGTTAACGGCCACCTATATTTCCCTAATACTTTACTGGCTGCAAAGAGTTAAAAATGTTTTTTTAAAGATTTATTTGAAAGGCAGAGAGACAGAGAGAAGGAGTATTTCATCTGCTGGTTCACTCCTCAAATGTCTAGAATAGTCAAGGTTAGGCAAGGAACTCCATCTAGGCGTCCCACATAGCTGACAGTAACCCATGTATTTGAGCCATCACCCCCTGTCTCCAGGTGCATTAGCAGGAAGTTGAACTGGAAGCACAACGTAACTGAGACTCAAATCTAATATGGATGTCCAAATGGGTAGCTTAACCTGCTGTGCCATAACTGAGAGCCCCAAGAGTTAATTTTTTAATCTATATCATATCACATACTGAAGAATCCAGAGGCAGAGGCAGCAAATGTATAAAACCAATCTGAACAGAGTTCAATTTAAAAGAAAAGACACAAATGAAATATGAAAAATTACAATAAAGTTCAATTTTGGTAAAGTCAGCAGGCAGGAACCTCCTCTTTCACATCTGGGCCATTTTGAAAAAACAATAATGTAAGCTTATTCAGCCTTTGAGAGTAAAATTAGGAAGTCCTTTATTTCTGTGGTACTGTCTATTTAATCCAGGAAATCTGCTAGGGCTCTACAGCAATTCTTTTGTAGAAAACTTTATTTCCATAATCCCTGTAGAACAGACATTTATATTTTAAATGAATTGGTTCATAATCCTTTGAAATTTACAACCTGCAGAGATAGATTCCATTGCCCTGAATAATGCATAGATCTAAGATAGTATTGAAATGGTACCATACCGCTGGGTGTGTCTGTCCTTTCTCTGCTGGTGCCTTTTAACCGGAATCTTCTTCTGTTATTATTCTTATCTGCTGATGGTTCTTGAGGGGGATGTGGGTGCATAATGGGTAGACTGGCTGGTCCATTTTCATATCAAAGAACAAAAGACAGAAGCGAAAGGACTATATAGCTTAAAATAACTCAGTAAATATAATTATCACTATAATGAGAACATTCATATATCATTTTGACACAACTTAAAGTTGTACCAAAAATCATAGCTTATTTCTTCATAGGAGATAGGTGTTTATTCTGATTCCAATATTAGAATCATATCAAGTTTTCAAAGTTACTTATGTATTTTATTCCCCTAATACCTTAATAGACAGCTACAAGTAATTTGATTAAGTATTCAAAAATAAAATTCAAACTGACAGCCAGCACAGAAAAATTACTTCCTTTAAAAAAGAGCATAGGAGTTTTCAAGATGGCAGAATAGGGAGGGCACTTACTGCTCTAGTCTACGGAATTATAGTTTCAAAAAAAGTGGAGAGAGAGCAATCTCAGGGAAGACTTAGGGAGAAAAAAGCAGAGGAAACTCTACACAAATTAGAGGGACACTGTAGACCTATGTGGAGGGTGTGGATGTGCACAACTCAGGACCCCAGCAGCTGAGAGCCTCAGCACCAACTTTAGAGTAAGGTGAGACCAGACTGCAGCAGCCTAAGCACTGGTGATAAAGCTGGGGGAAAAGCCTGGCATGAGTCTGGCTTGGAGCCCAGTGGGAGACAATGTGCCTGCCAATCTAGGGGGAAAACAAAGGGTGCACATTTCTCTCTCCCTGACCACCTGGCACCAGCGTCCTGTAACCACTGAGAGAGGCTGGGCACCATTCTGGACATACGTAACAGCTGCGCCTGCTTGTGTCTGTGCTCCCAGAAACCACCTTATAGGAGACGCCTGAGTCTGGTTGAGAGAATTGACAGGTGGCTGGGAGCCTTGTGTGCTGGGACTATGAAAACACTATGCTTGCATAGGAGGGCACAGAGTGTGGCTGGGACTTTGGGCAGTCACTGTGGGGGGCTCTACACGCTCAGGGCTCCCTGCTTTCCTGGTAAGGGTCATTGTTGCAAGATACATGTACACACTGAGGACTGCACAGATTGTTTGTGTGGTTCTTGTGGCAGTGCGGATGAAAACTGTACTCACTGCAGCTAGCACCCAGGCACTGGTCTCCTTTGAGGAGAGGAAGTGAATGTGAGAATATGCCAACAGAGCAGAATAAACCTCCTCTCCGATATAAAAAAAAAAAAGAGGAGATTTATCACACTCAACTTGGGTATCATTTTGGACACTCCCCTCACCATGGAGAACAGAACACGGCTTTCTGACCATATCCAGCATACACCTCTGGGTATTCACTGAAATATCAGACACACCACTAAGTCACAAAGGCATAGGTCAAAGATAAAAGCCATTACAGGTCAAAAAACAAACAAACAAGTATCACCAAAAATGCCTAATAATAAATGCAGCAATTCAAGAAACAAGAATAAGGAAAACAACATGATAGCCCCAGAAGAACACAATAGCCCCAGAAGAACACATCATGTCAGTACTAGAATGTGAAGATAAAGATATTGACCGAAATGCCAGCAACGGAATTCAAAAAATTGATCATAGGGTTATTTAGAAGGAATCAGAAGCAAATTCATGAACTAAAGAAATTCGTACATGACATGAATGAAATTTTTTCCCAGGAAATTGAGATTTTAAAGAGAAATCAAAATGAAATGTTGGAAATGAAGAATTCAAAGGAACAAATAAAACATACGGTGGATAGCCTTAAGAATAGACTCAGTGAGGCAGAAGAAAGAATATCTGAGATAGAAGATAAATCTTTGGAAATTTTACAATCATTCCATAAAAAAAAATTAGAAAACTTTTAGTTTGGAGATTTATGGGATACTATCAAACAACCCAACATACGGGTTTTAGGAGTTCCTGAAGGTGTGGAAAGACAGAATAGATTAGAAGACCTTTTTAATGAAATAATTACAGAAAACTTCCATAATTTGGGGAAAGAAAGGGATGTCAAAGTACAGGAAGCCCACAGAACTCCTAATAGCCATGACCATAAAAGATCTTCACCATGACACACTGTAGTCACATTCTCCCCAGTAACACATAAAGATTCTAAAATGTGCATGAGAGAAATGCCAGATTACTTTCAGATGATCTCCAATTAGACTCACAGCAGTCCTGTCATCAGAAACCCTATAGGCTAGGAGAGAACGGCAAGATTTATTCCAAATCTTAAGAGAAAAAAACTATCAACTCAAAATATTATACCACACAAAGTTTTCATTTCTGAATGAAGGTGAAATAAAGACCTTTCATAACAAAGAGAAATTTAAAGAATTTCTCACCACCCATCCAGTCTTACAAAAGATGCTTAAGGATATGCTACACATAGAATCATAGTCATCACTATGAAAGAAAGTGAAGACAGAAAATCTCCCAGTAAAAGTACAAAGGGAATCCAAAGAAAACAATAGAATATTTTTGGAAAATGGCAGGGCCAAAGTCATTACTCATCAATACTCACCTTGAATGTAAATGGCCTCAGCTCCCGCGTTAAAAGACACAGACTGGCAGAATGGATTAAAAAACAAAATCCATCTATTGTCTGCCTCAAGAAACACATCTCACCAACAAAGTTACATGTGGACTGAAAGTGAAAGGATGGAAAAAGATATTCCATGCTAACAGAAACCAAAAAGAGCTGATATAGCCATTCTAGTATCAGACAAAATAGACTTTAACACAAAAACTGTCAAAAGAGACAAAGGGTGACACTATGCAATGATTAAGGGGTCAATTCAACAGAAGATATAACTATTATAAATGTATATGCACCTACTTACAGGGCACCTGGCCAATTAAAAGAAACATTAAGGGATCTAAAGGGAAATATAGACTCAAATACAATAACAATGGGGGAATTCAATACTCCACTTACAGTAATGGACAGATCAACCAGACAGAAAATCAGCAAGGAAACAACAGAGTTAATCGACACTATACACCAAATGTACCTAAGGGATATCTACAGATACCCTACAGATGCAGAATATACATTCTTCCCACTAGTGCTAGGAACTTTCTCTAGGAATGACCACATGCAAGGCCATAAAGCAAGACTCAGCAAATTCAAATAATATCATCCATCTACCCTGACTACAATGGAATGAAACTGGAAATTAACAACTCAAGAATCTCTAGAACATATGAAAACACATGGAGACTGAAAAACAAGCTCCTGAATGAACATGTCAAAGGAGATAGCAAAAAAATTTCTGGAAACAAATGAAAATGACAATACAACATATCAAAACATTTGGAATACAGCACAAGAAGTGTTAAGACGAAAGTTTATAGCAACTGGTGCCTGCATCAAGAAATTGGAAAGGAACCATATTAATGAGCTAACAATGCATCTCAAAGACCTAGAATAGCAAACCAAATCCAAAACTAGTAAGAGGAAAGAAATAAGTAAAATTAGAGAAGAAAAAACAAAATTAAAACAAAACAAAAAAATACAAAATATCATTGTAACAAAAAGCTGTTTTTTTGGAAAAAATAAACAAAATTGACACACCTTGGCCCAATTAACCAAAAAAAGAGGGAGAAGACCTAAATCAATAAAATTAAGGTGAAAAAGGAAATATAACAACAGATACCACAGAAATAAAAAGAATCATCATGAATTACTACAAAAAGCTGTATGCCAACAAATCGGGAAACACAGAAGAAATGGATAGATTAATGGACACATACAACCTACCTAAATTGAGCCATGAAGACACAGAGACCTAAACAGACAATAACCAAGACAGAAATTTACTTAGTAATAAACACTCAGCAAGAAAAGCCCAGGACCAGCTGGCTTCACTGCTGAAATCTACCAGACATTTAAAGAAGAACTAACTCCAATTCTTCTCAAGCTACTCAAAGCAACTGAAAGGGAGAAAGTTTTCCCAAATTCCTTCTATGAAGACAGCATCACCTTAATTCCTAAACCTGAAAAAAAGATACAACAGAGAAAGAGAACCACAGGCCAATTTCTCAACAAAATAGTAGCCAATTGAATCCAACAACACATCAGAAAGATCATTCAACTTGACCAAGTGTGATTTATCCCAGGTATGCAGGGATGGTTCACCATTCACAAATCAATCAATGTGATACATTAACATTAACATAGTTAAGAACAAAAACCATATGATTACCTCAATAAATGCACAGAAAGCATTTGATAAAATACACCACCCTTCATGGTGAAAACTTTAAGCAAATTGGGTATAAAAGGAACATTCCTCAACAAAATCAACACAATCAAGGTAAGTTATGACAAACCCACAGCCAATGTCCTATTAAATGGGGAAAAGTTGGAAGCATTCCTACTGAAATCTGGAACCAGACAAGGATGCCCACTCTCACCATTATTATTAAATATAGTTCTCGAAGTTTTAGTCATTGCCATTAAGCAAGAAAAAGAAATCAAGGGGATACAAATTGGGAAGGAGGAAGTCAAACTATCCCTATTTTTAGATGACATGATCCTATAAATAGGGAATCCAAAAGACTATACTAAGATACTACTGGGATTCATAGAAGAGTCTGGTAAAGTAGCAGGATATAAAATCAAGATGCAAAAATCAACAGCCTTTGTATCCACAGACAATGCCATGGCTGAGAAAGAACTTCTAAGATCTATCCCATTCACGATCCAACATGGGAAGCAGGATACACAGCAGACTCATAGAAGGGCAGATGTCCTAAACAGCACTCTGGCCTCAGAATCAGCCCTTAAGGCATTTGGATCTGGCTGAAAAGCCCATGAAAATTTCAGGCATGGAAAGCCAAGACACTGTGGGGAAAAAAAAAACCTAAATGAAAGATCTCTGTGAGTGAGAGCCCAGTGGAAAGAACAGGTCATCAAAGAAGGAGGTACCTTTCTCTGAAGGGAGGAGAGAATTTCTACTTTGACTATGACCTTGTCTAAATATGATCAAGAGTCGGCGAACTCAAAAGGCCTCCATAGCCTTGGCAACTCATGACAAGAGCCTAGGGTGATTACTGACGCCAGAAACAAGAGTGTCAATTTGTTAAGTCAACAACAGGAGTCACTGTGCACTTACTCCTCATGTAGGATCTCTGTCCTTAATGTGCTGTACATTGTGATTTAATGCTATAACTAGTGCTCAAACAGTATTTTTCACTTTGTGTTTCTGTGTGGGTGCAAACTATTGAAAGCTTTACTTAATATATGCTAAACTGATCTTCTGTATATAAAGAGAATTGAAAATGAATCTTGATGTGAATGGAAGGGGAGAGGGAGCAGGAGAGGGGAGGGTTTCGGTGGGGAGGGAAGTTATGGGGGAGGGAGGAAAGCCACTGTAATCCATAAGCTGTACTTTGGAATTTTATATTCATTAAATAAAAGTTAAAAAAAAGATCTATCCCATTCACAACAGCTACCAAAAAAAAAAAAAAGTCAAATACTTTGGAATAAATTTAACCAATGATGTCAAAGATCTCTATGATGAGATTCACAAAGCATTAATGAAAGAAATAGAAGATACAAAAAAATGGAAAAATCTTCCATGTTCATGGACTGGAAGAATCAATATCATCAAAATGACCATACTACCAAAAGCAATTTAAAGATTCAATGTGATACCAATCAAAATAACAAGGACATTCTTCTTAGATATAGAAAAACAATGCTGAAATTTGTAGGGAAACAAAGGAGAAGCTGAATAGCTAAAACAATCTTGTATAACAAAAACAAAGCAGAGGATTCACAATACCAGATTTCAAGACATACTACAGGGCAGTTAAATCAAAACAGCCTGGTACTGGTACAAAAGTAGATGGATAGACCAATGGAACAGAACAGAAATGCCAGAAATCAATCCAAACATCTATAACCAACTTATATCTGACCATGGAGCTAAAACCAATTCCTGGAGCAAGGACAGTCTCTTCAACAAATGGTGCTGGGAAAACTGGATTTTCATATGCAGAAGTATGAAGCAAGACCCCTACATTACACCTTATATAGAAATACACTCAAAATGGATTAAAGACCCAAATCCATGACATGATATCATCAAATTATTAGACAGCACTGGGGAAATCCTGCAAGACATTGGCATAGGCAAGGAGTTCTTGGAAAAGACTCCAGGGGCACAAGAAATCTAAGTAAAAATTCACAATTTGGAAAATGTCATACCTAGTGAAATAAGCCAGTCCAAAAAGGACAAATACCATAATGTTCTCTCTTATCTGTGATAACTAACAGAGCACCTAAAAGGTAATTTACAGAAGTGAAATTAACACTTCGAGATGCAATGACTTTGAACAGTCCTCATCTTGACTGTTGAGGAACAGTTTTTTTTCCCCCATACAATTTGTTGGACTCTTTACTTAGTATAGAGTTACTAATATGTGTATATAGTTCATTGAAAATAGATCTTAGCAAAAAATAAGAAAGGGAATAGGAGAGGGAGGAGAAAGAGGGGTGGGAGTGGGTGTGGGAGGGTGGGTACAGTGGGAAGAATCACTATATTCCTAAAGTTGTATTTATGAAATGCATTAAGTGTACGAGTCTTAAATAAAAGGTTTCTGGGGAAAAATAGTGTGGGTAAGTTTATTTTTAACAAGAGTTTAGTGTACCAGTAGAACACTGGAGAACTGAGGACAAACCTGGAGAATTATTTATAAAACTTAATCATGCAATACTAATATTCATAGCAGCACTTAATATTGACTGACCACATCATTCTTGGCAAAATATGATTCACCAATTGGTTTTTCTCACAGAACCATCACAATGACCCCTTGATGCAGCTGTTAGCTATTACTATTACCACTACCAGTGGTAATGGTATCTCCATTTTACAGGGGACAAAACTGTTTAAGAGACTTGATCAAGGCTTCACAGAGAGTTCAGAGTTGTTACTGGATGCCTTTGTTATATTTTCTGATGTAAGTTTATACTCCATGCAGAATACTATCTTTAACAGTGAGAGTTAATTTCTTTATGTATATTTTAAATTTATTTCAAGAGCAGAATTATAGAGAGGCAGGCAGAGAGAGAAGAAGAAGAAGAAGAAGAAGAAAGAAGAAAGAAGAAAGAAGAAGAAGAAGAAGAAGGAGAGAGAGAGAGAGAGAGAGAGAGAGAGAGAGAGAGAGAGAGTCTTCCATCCGCTGGTTCACTCCCCAGATGGCCACAAAAGCCGGAGCTGAGCTGATTTGAAGCCAGGAGCCAGGAGTTCTTCCAGGTTTCCCATGTTGGTGCAGGGGTCCAAGGACTTGGGCCACCTTCTACTGCTTCCCCAGGCCATAGAAAAGAGCTGGATTGGAAGTGGAGCAGCCGGGACTTGAACCGGCACCCTTATGTGATGCCGGCACTGCAGGTGGCAGCTTTACCAACTATGCCACAGTGCCAGCCCCAAGAATTAATTTCTAAATCAAATAAAATGAACTGAAATGACCTCCTTTTCATTTAAGTCAGACCAGAAAGGGTAAAAAATTGACAGTGAATTCTAAGTCTTGGGTTCCTTCTCAATTATTTCTGGTTTCTAATTCTTTGAAGCTGCAAATCACTTTTCTCTGTTAGCCTTGAATTCTCAGTTGGTAAAAGGGACAAAAGACCTTTCCACATTCACAGTGTGGTTTTTGTATCAGTGAGAGAAAATAAAGAACATTTCACAAATTAAAGACATTAATTAAAAGATGAAATTAAGCTAAGAAAACTTAAAATGTAAATGGAATTGCCGAAATTTAGCAATAATGGGATTTACTTCTACATCAGTTATCATAAAGTAAAAATGCAAATATGGTAGCAATTTGAAATAACAGAGTATATAGGATGAGAATTTCTAGAATTCTAAATATATTTAAATACCCACTACTCATGTCATTATTAAATGGTAATTTTCTGAACTTAGGATCTAGTCATGAATATAACTTCTTCACTTTATAAGAAAATGTCTATTTTCACCAGCTATTAATCTTCATGCATGATTCTTCCTTACCATGAAGAGGCACAGGATGCCTTATTTGGCAAATATTTTCTTTATCTCCTTGCTCCACACAGTCAGGTATCAGCAAGGGTGACTTCTCTGAATTGGTAACACATTTATCAACAGTGGACCGCTGGTATGATCGGTGACTTTTGGGTCCAACAGATCTTACCGTCTACAAGGAAAGGAAGTTATCTGTACATTTAAATACATAGGAATTAAATGTATTTCCTATAGAATATATACAAGAAAATGAATATTTAGACAAATAAAGAGAAAAAACTAGAAGAAATGAGGTCAGAAAGTGATGGAAAGGGAAATTACTATTGCAAATTATAAATAGAGAAAAATAAGGTGAGATAAAATGGAAGACAATCAGGTCCCATAGAAGCAAAAATTAAAGTATGCTCATTTGCTGCACTCCATCTTCAGTAGGAAGGAGCTGAATTTAAAATTGCCATATATGGCAGAAATTGAGCAGAAATTCAAAGCAAACATAGCATTTGCGAATCTGTTCCCTGCAAGGCATCTGGTGATGATCCAGCTCCTTTGGAGGAGACAGCAAAATGAGCCCACATCTACTTGCCTGTAAGTTTTGTGAACGTTTAATGAAAGGAATGATTAGAAATGTTAATTATATTGACAAAGTTAAAAGAGAACAGTTTGAAGTGTTTTAGGATCTAGAATTTCTGTTCTAAATGCATTCAAGCCTCTGCTTTGGCATGCTGTCTCTCCCTCCTACCTGGGGAAGGAGATCTTCCCTTCCCACGCCACCATGCTTAGATAAGCTGTCCCAGTCTCGTTCCTACCTCACTGGATACCCTCACGTTATTCCTTCTGCCAGACAGTGGAGGTGGTCCAAGAACTCTGGATCCAAAGGCAATATGACAAATATCTTGATTTCTGCTGTTCCGCAAGCTACCCGTTCCTCTGTGGATTAACGAATCTGTTTTGTTAAAAAAAAGGTAAAACAGTCCATTAATAGGCGTGATGGCATATACCATGTTGAGATATTTCTGAAAGTTAAGGTCCAGATGTCACACAGCTGAATCACCCCTCTACCGTCAGCACTTACTGAAAATGCAGACATTTGACTTCCACTAGCTCTATTAGAGCTACAGATTTAGAATATTGAGAGAGGGACCAAAATACTTTGAACAAGTTCCCTCAAGTAATTGGCACACTCAGCTTCATTTAAAACATGTTTTATTTATTATTACATATTTGAAAGGGAGAGCAACAGAGAGAAAGAGATCTTCCATCTGTGGGTTCACTCTCCAGATGCTTGTAGCAGCTGGGATTGGGACAGACTCAAGCCAGAAACCCAGAACTCTGTGTACTCTGCATGGGTGGCAGGGACTCAAGTATTGGAGTCATCATCTCCTGCCTCCCAGAGTGTGCACAGCAGGAAGCTGGAATTGGAAGCACTGCCAGGACTTGAACCCAGGCGCTGATAGGTGATGTGAGCATATTAATTACTGAGCCAAATGTCCACATCAGTCATCATCATTTGACAACTATCACTAATAATTTTCTTCAAAAAAAAAGAAGAAAGAAAGAAAGAAAAAAATGTATCAAAAACATAACTTATTTTCTCTTTAAGGAAATAAATAAAATTACCAACTAAAGAAATATTTAACCAAGTACTCTCTCAGGACTCCCTAGAGGCTGTCATTGACACCAAGAGGATAAGACATATTGCATGAGGGAGGTTCAAAGATGGCAGAATAGGGAGGGAGCTCACTGGTAGTCCAGGAAAAGACAGTTTAATAAAAGTGGAGATAGTGTAGTCTCAGGGAAGAGTTAGGGGAAAAAACTGCAGAGGAAATTCTTCTGGAATTAGAGGGACATGGTGGATCTACGTGTAGGGCATGGGTGCCCATGGCTCGGGACCCCAGCTGCCGAGAGTCTCCTCCACACCAGTGCTGGAAAGAGAGGTAAGGCAAAACTGCAGTAGCCCGAGACAGTGGCAGAAAAGCAGCAGGAAGAGCCTAGAGGAAAAAAGGCTTGGGGAAAGTACACCAGCCTAACTAAAGGAGAGAAAAAATAAAAGGGACGGTATGGACATGATTCTCTCTCCACACTCACCTTACAAAGGCATGTGAGACAATAGAGCAGGCACCATTTTGGACATATGTAACAGTTGCACCAGCTCGGGGCTACGCCCGCCCCCAACTGAACATAAAAACCTTACACTGGTGGGGAGTAATAACAGGAGACTGAGACCTAGTGAATGTGTGGAGCTTATGAACTGGGACTGTGAAAAAAAACCAAAAAACAAAAAACTGAGGGTGTGTGGAAGAACTCATGGTGTGGCTGGGACGTGAGTAGTTTCGGTGGGAGATGCCACAAGCTCAGGTGGCCTTGGCTACCCAGTGAGAGATACTGCAGGGGAATCTGAGCTTATACTGAGGACTGCATAGATCCTTTGTGTGGTCTTTGGGACAGAGCGGACAAATATTATACCCACTGGGGCTAGCGCTCAGGCACTGATTAACATCTAGGAGAAGAGCTCAGCTGAGCAGAATTACTTCCCTTCTGAAAAAAAAAAAGAGAGAGAGAGAGAGAGAGAGATGTACCATGCCAAACCTGGGTGTGTCACCTTTGGCACACCCTTAACCCTGAAGAACTAAACAAGAGCTCTCTGGCCACACCCACAACAAGCCTCTAGAGATTCACCAAAAGCAGACATTCCACTTTAGATTAAGAGTCATAGTATAATGAGAAAAGCCATCACAGCGAGAAAAAAAAAAAAAGGAAACCAAAGACTATCTCCATATGACAAACAACAAACACAGAAATCGAGGAAACAAGAACAAGGAAGCCATTATGACGCCCCCAAATGAACATGACACTCCAATACAAGATTATGGAGACTGAACAACATGCTCCTGAATGAACAGTGGATCATAGAAGAAATCAAAAGAGAAATCGAAAACTTTCTGGAACCAATGAAGATAATACAACATATCAAAACTCATGGGATACAGCACAAGCAGTGTTAAGAGGAAAGCTTATAGCAATAGGTGCCTATATCAAGAAACTGGAAAGGCACCAAACAAAGGAGCTATCAATGCATCTCAAGGATCTAGAAAAGCTGCAGCAAACCAGACCCAAAACTAGTAGGAGAAGAGAAATAATTAAAATTAGAGAAGAAATCAACAGAATTGAATCCAAAAAACATTATAAATGATCAGCAAAAGGAAGAGCAGGTTTTTTGAAAAAATAAACAAAACTGACACACTTTGGCCCAATTAACTAAAAAAGGAGAGAAATGACCCAAATTAATAAAATCAGAGATGAAAAAGGGAACAATTACTTGATCAGCCGTTGTCCTGTCAAGGAACTACTTAATACTTTATCCCTTTTAGTATTTTTTTGTTCTACTTAATATTATTAGTTGAACTCTTTAATTAACACACAATTATTCTTAAGTGTTTAAAATCAACTGAAAAGTGATCCCTGTTAAATATAAGAGTGGGTATAGGAGAGGGAGGAGATGTACAGTTCGGCACATGCTCACTCAGACTTACCCCTAATGGTAGAGCTAGAAACATGCCATGGGATTCCAACTCAATCCCACCAAGGTAGCATGTACCAATGCCATATTACTAATGAAAGTGATCAGTTTAAGTTCATAACTGATCATAATGATAGGATTAAGTGTCAAAGGTATCACATAAACAAGACTAGTATCTGCTAATAATAACTGAAAGAATTAAAAATGAGAGAACGATTCAACATGGGAAGTGGGAGACACAGAAGACTCATAGAATGGCAGATGTCCTAAACAGCATTCTGGCCTCAGAATCAGCCCTTAAGGCATTCAGATCTGGCTAAAAAGCCCATGAGAATTTCTCAGGCATGGAAAGCCAAGACACTGTGGCAAAAAAAGGCCTAAATGAAAGATCTCTGTGAGTGAGATCCCAGCATAAAGAACTGGCCATCAAAGAAGGAGGTACCCTTCTCTGAAGGGAGGAGAGAACTACCACTTTGACTATGGTCTTGTCTAAATAAGGTCGGAGTTTGTGAACTCAGGAGGCTTCCATAGCCTTGGCAGCTCATGATAAGAGCCTCAAGTGGTTATTGACATCATAAATAAGAGTGTCAATTGTTAAATCAACAACAGGAGTTACTGTGCACCTACTCCCCATGTAGGATCTTTGTCCTTCATGTGTTGTATTATGCAAATTAACGGTAAAACTACTACTCAAACGGTGCTCTATACTTTGTGTGCCTGTGTGGGTACAGTCTGTTGAAATCTTAGTATATACTAAGTTGATCTTCTGTATATAAAGATAATTGAAAATGAATCTTGATGAAGAATGGGATGGGAGAGGGAGTGGGAAATGGGATGATTGCAGGTGGGAGGGAGGTTATGGTGGGAAAAGCCACTATAATCCAAAAGTTGCACTTTGGAAATTTATATTTATTAAATAAAAGTTGAAAAAGAAGACATATTGCAAGCCTTTGGGGAGTCTGTAGGGAGGCGAGAAGACAATTGGACAGGTCACTAACACAAGGCAAAGCAGTGGCAATGCGGAATGCATGATCTCTTAAACGGATTTTGAATAACTGATCTGATTTTTTTTTCAGTTTTTTTTTAAAGCTATATTTATTTGGAAGGAAGAGAGAAAGAGAGAGAGAGAGAGAGAGACAGACAGACAGACAGAATGAATGAAGCTTCTATTCAGTGGTTCACTCCCCAGATGGTTGCAATGGCTGGAGCTGAGCCAATCTGAAACCAGGAACCAGGAGATGCTTCTGGGTTTCCTATGTGAGTGCAGAGGCCCAAGGACTTGGGACATCTTCTACTGCTTTCCCAAGCCATAGGAGAGACCTGGATTGGTAGTGGGGCTTCCAGGTATTGAACTGGTGCCCCTATGAGAAGCTGGCATTACAGGCAGTGGCTTTCCCTGCTACACCACAGCACTGGTCCCTTGATCTGATTTTAAGAATAAGAAATGTATGGTGCCCAAGTAAGGGCATTTAACATGGGAAAGGTTGGGTATACTTTGGGAGTAATGAATGAAATGATCAGTTTGGCTGGAAGGATAGGCTTGGATCATACCAAAAGAGCCATAAAGTGTGAAGAGCATTCTAAATTTGGTAGGCAATGGGGAAGGTTTTGGAGAGAAAGAGAGCAAACAGGTACCACCTCTCGGATACGGCAGAAGCGCTCCTCAGTTCCTGCTGTCTCTCCTTCTGGGCCCACAGCTAAATTAGATTTCTGAGCTTTTAGCCCTCCGAAACTTTTTGCATAATTCCCCCATGTGCCCTCTTCCCTCAACTCTCGACAAGATGAAGATCCTGTGGAGGACACTAAGGCCCCAGGGGAGCCATTGGGTAAAAGAAGCTGAGGTCTCTGAGTGGTAGCCCTCTCTGACTAACAGGGCTGGTGAGGGTAACAGCCCTTGTCTTAAAACACTGCCCACTGCCTGCTACACTTTCTGCTGTGCCCCACTTGCAAGACCTGATTACTATGATGATGATCCTGAGGAAGACCACATTGCCTTCCAGGCTTGGACATACAAGGGCTACTGCCTACTTCTGATCTGACAACTTCCCTAAAAAGATACCTATAGCTAGCCAATTGGTCTCATTAGCTTGAGGTATAATTTTTATATGTGGTGAGATTAAATCCCCTCCCACTTTACAGCATAATGCATACAGGGTTCTGAAACAGGCCATTCATCCTCAGGAAACTCCACATATGTAGATCTGAGACGAAGTAATGTGTGTGGATGCATGGGTGTTTTTGGGCCTGTTTTGGGGTTTGTAATAGATGAAGTTGAAGGGATGGGCAGAGGCTAGATTAGTGAATTGAATATTCCCACTGAGACTCAATGGGATTCATTTTTCTAATGTTTATGTACATTTTTGAGTAGCAGGCAGAGAGAGAGAGAGAGTCCACTTGTCTAAATGGCAGAATCAGAACTTTACTTC